TCTGGGCATCTCTGCTTAGACTGCTGCCCCCGCGACCCGGTCCCGGATAAGCGGAAGAAAATGGATGGATGGATGGATGGATGGACACACCTGTCTATATAAGACCCTACAGCTCACAGTGCATGTCAGAGCAAATGAGAATCATGAGGTCAAAGGAACTGCCTGAAGAGCTCAGAGACAGAATTGTGGCACGGCACAGATCTGGCCAAGGTTACAAAAAACTTTCTGCTGCACTTAAGGTTCCTAAGAGCACAGTGGCCTCCATAATCCTTAAATGGAAGACGTTTGGGACGACCAGAACCCTTCCTAGAGCTGGCCGTCCGGCCAAACTGAGCTATCGGGGGAGAAGAGCCTTGGTGAGAGAGGTACAGAAGAACCCAAAGATGACTGTGGCTGAGCTCCAGAGATGCAGTCGGGAGATGGGAGAAAGTTGTAGAAAGTCAACCATCACTGCAGCCCTCCACCAGTCGGGGCTTTATGGCAGAGTGGCCCGACGGAAGCCTCTCCTCAGTGCAAGACACATGAAAGCCCACATGGAGTTTGCTAAAAAACACCTGAAGGACTCCAAGATGGTGAAAAAAATGAACAAATGATTTTAGCATATGGCTGCAATATAACAAAGAGTGAAAAATTTAAGGGGGTTTGAATACTTTCCGTACCCACTGTATATATAAATTCCCCACTCGCCCCACACTTTGGGGCAGTCTTGTATTCCTTCCTTCAAGCTCGGGTCCTCTACCAGAGGCCTGGGAGCTTGAGGGTCCTGTGCAGTATCTTAGCTGTTCCTAGGACTGCACTCTTCTGGACAGAGATCTCAGATGTTGTTCCTGGGATCTGTTGGAGCCACTCTCCCAGCTTGGGGGTCACAGCCTCCAATGTTCCTATTACCACGAGGACCACTTGTGCCTTCAACCTTCCACATCTTTTCTAGCTCTTCTTTCAGCCCTGGGTATTTTTCGAGCTTCTCGTATTCCTTCTTCCTTATGTTGCTATCACTTGGGATTGCTACATCTATCACTACGACCTTCTGTAATGGCATTTTTAAGTATATCCATTTATATTGTTGATATACATATTGAGCGCTTTAACATCATTAACATGTGACAAAGTTTGCCTTCCCATGGAAGCAGTTGTTTTGAAGAAGCCCAGGAAAATGTTAACCGACCGTTGATTGTACACTTACCACCACTTCAGGTGGCTCAGGTCAATCTAGTGGTGTTAGGGTGATTTTTATTTTACGCACTTATGAATAGGATTTGTTAAGGTTTTTATTTTATAGCACACTAAAGTTTACATACTCATATGTCACAGTTATGTTTACATAGTTACACATCACCTTATGTGTTCACTGAATCACTGGTCAATATTTATAGTGTTAGCCAACTGGAGCACTGTTTAACATCAAAGGGACTGGTTCGCTAAAACACTGAATCTCATTAGATTTACAGCTTTGGCAAAGAGGGTCCACAGTTACTTTACTATCACCACCTGGCTGATAAGTCCAGGGGAATTAGGGTTCACTGGGACACTATGGTTAGTAAACAGAGATTGGATCTGAAGCCAGGACGAGGAGAAAACTTCAAAGGTAGAACCATATGCACACACACAGGCAGAGCAGTTTTAATTGGAACCAGAAAGTAATGCCTAATATGTTGGAAATAGTTGGAAACAAAGGAAGAAGTGACTGTGTATGTAGGAATTAAGACAGTATAGGTATTCCTCCCCTTTTTAGGGCGCTGTTCAC